GTTTGATTGGGATATAGAATTTTTGAATTGTTAATTGATTAATTAATCCTAAAAATTCTTCGTCTTTAAGATTTTTATCTTCATCTGGTTTAGACAGAGTATTTTCCATACTCGTTCCCGTTGATTCTTCATTTTGTAATTGAAGAAGGATGTTCTGATGAGTTTGTTGTTGTTCTTTGATTTGTTTAACTTCAGTTTTGAGAATATTGATCTCATACTGAAGATCTTGGACAGTTATAGGTTTGACAGTAATACTCTTTTCTAGTTTTTTAAGGGTATCTTTAAGATTAAACTTATTAGGAACCAACAACTCTTTAGATTTAGAAGAACTGGTTTCCAAGGATGATTTTAATTTTGCTAAGTAAGCTTTCTTTTCATGGGGATCACTGATTGAATCTATGACCTCGAACAAAAGATCTTGTTCTTTAGTCAAGACATTAATTTCTTGCGAGGATTGTGAGTCCTCACTAGAAGATAGATCATCTTCATGAATTTGGTTTAAATCTTCTGAGGATTCTTTTCCAGATTCTTCATCCGAGGACTGGATTAGAAGATTATTGATTTGTTCTTCAATAGAAGGATCAAGGTTTAGGTTATTTAGTTTTTTCTTAAGCCTACAATATTTACTAATATGTCCAGGTTTACCACAGCTGTAGCAAATAGTTGGCTTAATTGGTTTGGATGTATTTTGTGATTTATTTGTTTCAGTATTTGGCTTAGGATTTTCATTTTTAAACCTTTTATTGTAATTGGGTTTCTTACGAAAATTCCTAAAAGTTTTAACCTGTTTTTGTTCCTGTTTTTTATGTTTTTTAGGTTTTGTAGTACAAGGCAGACCAAATTGTTCACAAAATGATCCTAGATCTTTACGATTTTGAGTTTTTTCTTTTGCAAGTTGACGTTGGATTTTATCATCTTGACAGATTTTTAAAGCTACCTTTTGGATATAAGCAACTAATTGTCCATAACTTAATTGCTCATAAGGGATATCTCCAGTTAGAGATTGATGACGGATTTTATCCCTAACTTTGTCTCCTAAAGATTTTGGAAGACCAGCTAAGAATTTTTCTTTCCAGAAAGGTTGTTGACTATCATCTCGAGTGTAAACCCTAGTTAGGAAGGTATCTTTATACCAGCGAAAGTCACCTAAGGTTCTACATTTAAGATTGGATAGGAGTTCAGCAGAACGATCTTTCCATAAGGATGGATCACCAATGAAATGTTGGATAATGGTGAAGATTAATTGATTAACAGCATCTGGAATAGTTTTTCCATCAGAGACTATAGGAATGCCATCAGGATCAACTTTAATGGCATTAAGAACAGAATTTTTTTCATCTTCAGAAAGATAATTATCCCACCAACCTTTGAGTTGACCAGAGAAGCCAGAGACAATAATATTGACTATAATTGCTTCAGAACAATTATGAGAAGTTTGATAGGCAGTTGCAACCATAGTCATATGGTGCATTATATTGAGTATGTTATACTCTGATTGACCATCTATGTTCCATTCATAGACGTTGTTACCATTAAAACTTTTGAAACTTGTATTCTTTTCTTCAAGTAGAAGATCAGGAGCAGTTGCTTTTTGGTAATAAAGTTTGGAAGGGTTTCTCCAATTATTAATACCAGTTATAGGATTAATTTTAATTTCAGATTTGTTATCTGACTCAGGAGATTCATCATAATGATTCAGAGTATTGATAGTTTTTGACCGAGTGTTATGTTTATGAGACTGTTGAGTCTCTTGATCAGAATGTTGTGGGGTATCAGGAATGGTTAATGTACTTAACTTCTCATCAATTTTTTTAAGAAATTCATCCTGAGACTGAGATTGAGCAGGTTTTAACTTTGCAAACTCTTTTCTAAGTTGATCATTCATTTTGAAAGGTTTGAACAAAGGTTTTTCTAAGTTTTTAGAAGAAGATGCAGAGGATGAAGGTTCAATAGTTTTGATAAGTTTTTCACCCAAAACTTGAAGATATTTGTTGGTGTAATTAGATTGCTCAATAAGATTTTTAAAATCCATTGGAGAGACTTGTTCATTTTCATCTTTTAATTTAAAAGGTGAAGCAAGAACAGACCTACTTTTGTTATCACAAACTTTTGGGAGATAGAAAGAAGTTGTGGGAGGAAATTCAGACTTGATAATCTCTCCTTCTTTCAGGTGCCAATCAGTGATGACATTAGCAGATTGAGGAGTCTTGAATGGATAATCAATGTCCTGTTGGACAGAATAAGCTTGAAACCAATCAAAGAAAGGAATATTTAACTCTACCTTGTCAAGAAAGTTATAAAATTCTTCTTGAATTAGTTGTCTTTTAATTCCCTTATAATTTTGGAAGAACCATTCTTTTTGAGGAGACCGTTCCTCAGAATTAAAGTCTTTCCTAAGGGTTTCCTTATCTATAATGAACTTATATAACATCATAAGAATTATGCATAGAGGAATAGGTTGGAGATTGAATAGATTTTGGGGATTGGATGATACTTTGTTCATTTTCTTCTTCTTTTTGGGTATATGAAGGTTTAGGAATAGAAGAAGAAGTGTCCAAACCTTGGAGATGGAGATTGAACCTACTAGGTTCAGAGATTGTAGAGAGAAAGATCTCCTTGAAAGAGCAGATTGAAAATCTTCAGAACGAAAATCTTGAGTTTGAACAGACCTGGAAGAACTTGCAGAACTGAAAGAGTTTCTTCTATCGAAGATTATTTCAACAGCACCACTTGGGAACTGCTTGATTTCTCTAAAGTTTGGAGTATCTCTAGGTTGAGCAGGTGTTGCCTTCTCAAGCCTCCATTTATCTGGTAGGACTATGTCAGTCCAACGGATGGTTTTGGGAACAGTGACATTTGCTCTAGACATGTCAGTAAGGAACAAAGTAGTTTCCCCAGTTTTCTTGGGTTTAAGAACCCTAGAGATGGAAGAATTCAATACTTTATATTGAATCCTAAAAAGCAAAGCTGCTGGAATAGATCCGGATTTCATGTCCAGACCACTTGTCTCAATGTTCAAAGTTAAGACATCCAAGATATTTTTATCTTGAAGACTAACCATACGATCAGGATAACAATTGAAAAAGATTGGTCCATTGCTTAGGCTTGTTTCAACAGTTCCAAGTATAGAATCTGTAAATTTGTTATGCCTTGTATCACGAAGGCATAGAAGAACAGAAGCATTTAGACCTTCAATTCCAAGAGGTTTAATAGCCACTTGGACACATCCGATGTGCAGATAGTTATAACTTTGTTTATGAGTTTGTATAGACGATTTTGAAAGTAGTTGAAATTCTTCAAATTCCTTATTTAAAGGGATATTTCTTTCAACTGTTCTGATGATATAGTCAGATTTCCGAAAGAAGTTTCCTTCGGGTTTGTATAGTTCATTAGTTGGAATTCTGGGAATTTCCCAGTTATCCAGATCTTGATTGATATCTTCAAAGGAGATTTCTTCTTTAAAAATATTTTTTGTATGATTTTTAACTTGATCTTTATGGATGGAAGAAGAAGATGGCTGAGATGATTTGAAAGAGAGCTTAGAAGAGAAAGATTTAAACATGATAATAAAACAGATGTATTTCCCAGATATCTGAACCATCATTTGGATCCATAGTAATACAGAGATAGATGTAAATTAACTTTTATCAACTGAGCATTAGATTAAGATTTTAACGTAAATAAACAACAGATTGTCAGATAATTTAGATCTATCCATATATTCCTACTTCCCCATCAGGCTCTGATACCAGAGGGCTAGGGATGATTTGAAAGTGATAATTTAGTTTAAACCAGAGCTTGACATTTTCTGGGTAAGCTCTTGAAGCATCAAATTCTATCCACCATTTAACAAAAGCTTGTCTCCTGAGTAATGGTAGTCTGATGCCTGTTTTCTCGTCGTAATTGTACTGCCATGAAAATATCCATGCCAGAGAGAACTTTGAGAAAAAATGCAGATCTATTGGAAAAGGATCTGCTAGATTGTCGAATTTTTTAGAAAAGATTGTCATTCCTTCAAAGACTTGTGGAGGAAGGATGGAAAAAATGCCTGGATTTCCATATTCTATATATATATATATATATATAAATGGTTCAGTTCTAATGGGAAAAACCATTTTTAATCTTGTAAGGACAGTTTTTTAATCTTTGTAAATGGTTCAGTTCTAATATGGCAAAAGCGGTTTGGTTACCAACAATTTTTGAAATCGAACTGATTTTAATTTTTGTAGAAGCTGTTCAATTTTCTCTAATCATCAAACTCTTAAGTCATGATTTAATTATCCAAATTGCAATGTTACCGGATCTCGCATATAGATTATTCAAGAGGATATTCAATCTCGACAACATCTTCCTCAGCCAATAATTAGTTTTTGTAATCGGATCTGCAGTAAAAGGTCACTTGTGATTTTGTGTGTCTTTGGAGAAGAGAGAAAAAAATTAGAAAACAAGAAATGTTTCAAAAGGTTGTATTGGACTTGGTTCTCCATGTTTTATTTTTCTATTTTTTATTAGAAATTGGGGTGTGGGGAGAGAAATTGGGTTTGTCAAATTGATTTTTATTAATTTTCTTGCGAGAATGTTTTTATTTTTTTGAGGGATTTAGGATTAGGATCGTTGGATTGTAAGTGAAATTATCAACAAGAATATGTTACAGCTGAATCACATTGCTTGTTCAAATGACGTATGATGAACCCATGATTTTTTATTTTTTTCTTAAACAGTTCAAATTGCTTACTCAGCTCACATAAATGTGAGACCATCACTGTCCACGTAATAAATACAAAGAGCAAAAATGCTATTAAAATGTGGAGCAATATAAGTCCTGCCTCATATATAGACAGCATTGAGATTAATTCGTCGTGATATCATGTAAAGAATCTTAGAATGCACCACACCAAAAGCTAGCTCAAAGAGTGAAAGTGCCCAAAGTCTTATAAACTCCACATTAGTTGCATATACAACTAATGTGAAACTATATATCTCAACACGTCCAATATAAAAACTTAAACAAGTAATGCAGTGCGAATTTAGTGTGTATATTCGTTCATCCAAAATACAGCAATATTACGAGTTGGTCAAGATACCCATAAATGTTTGCTATGTGAGCATGTAAACTTTCATCCGAATTTGAATTTACATCTACCATTTACTACTTCATATTATATTTTAATGAGAGAAGTTATATTTACAATTTATTTTCGTTTACAACCTCTTACAATAAATTTTAACTGTTGATTTCCGTCAATCTTACGATTATAATTTATAGGATCATATTTATTAATTAATTATTAATTCTCAATAAATTATAACCATCTGATTGACGAAAATCAACGATTAAGATTTGATTGTAAGAGGTTATAAACGAAAATAAATTGTAAATATAATCTTTCTCATTTTTAATAGAAGCTTTATAATATAAAGTACACTATACAGGTTCAACAAGAATCAACAGTTAAACCACCATCAGAAGGGGCTGCGCTATCAGCAATTTGGTCCATTTCCATTCTCACGGCCTCTTCATTTTTCCTCTCATCCTCTTCTTTCTCAACCTTCAGTCTCTGCTTGAGAACAGTAAGAGCTTTAGTCGCAAATACAGTTTATGTAGAAGCAAGAAAATTGGGTATTCATAAAGACAATCAACTGAGATTAAGAACAACAAAATGAAAAGAAGGACAATAAATGATATACAAATCCTAAAGTGACAACATAGGAAGTGTCGAAATGTTTCATAATCCATTGCTCGTCAAGGCATCAGTCTAAACTAGCAAAGTCCAGTTTTCTAGCTTTTCTTTTTCTAAAGAAGTATATGCCGATTATTTCTACCCTGCATGTACTCAATTTTCCTCCAAAAGATTCAGTGTGTGGGGGGAATTAAGGCAAGACAAATTCCTGATTTCAAATACACAAACAAAAAAGAGTTATTAAGTTTAAACACTAATCACCTTTGTTGCCACAGGCGAGTCCTTTATTTTATGTGCAAATATATTTTCATACAGCTTAGCATCTTTTTTGTCACTGTCAGCTTGAAGTTGCTTCAATTTCTTCTTAATTACCTTTACCTCCCTGGGAAATGAAAAACCATGTTCCCACAATGAGAAACTTCCATTTTAATCCAGTAGTAATTTTCTTTGGAGAAACAACCCTTTTAAGTACCTGTTTTGTGGATCCACCTCAAGAGCTTTCTTGACGTCTACATCTGCCAAAAGATAGTCTCCAGTCTCTATATATGCTTGCGCTCGTCTGTACAAAGCTTTCACATTGTAAAACTCAATATCAAGCACCTGATGAAAAGAGCAAGAAAAAGTGATATGAGAACTTTTCTTGTAACTCTGGCCTCCATGCTATAATTTGAATGATGAGATGATATTAATTCATTCATTTCCTTGTTTGCAGTCAGGCATGCATCAGTCTACATGAAGCTTCCAATATTGTGAAAAAAATTCCACTTCTTTATGTAATAGTTTTCAAAGCTCATATAGTTTAAGCATTGCTATTATTCAACTAGAAATTAAGAACACATGTATTTCCTTTTCAGAATCGAAACATAAAAGCGACATTCGCAGGCAATAATGCTAAAAGATTGGTTACAATATGGAAAGAACAATCTCAACACAACCAGCGTTGAAGCCCGCCTCACCCCTAGTACATTTCTAGCCATTTATGCACCATCAGCTCATGAAACAACTTAGCTGAATAGGACTGAAGTAGATAACCTACGTGAGGAGAATTAAGATAAAGGTAGTGGATTGATGACCCACATGAGCAAGAGAGATGAGGAAAAAGGGAATATGCATAGGGGATTTTCTTGTAATGCCTAGACACCCAGCAGCAGGGGAGAGGAAGAGTGAGGTTTGAGTGAAGTTTGCAAGTGTTAAATGCAAAAGAGAGGGGAAGAGGAAAGTAAAGCAAGAATTCAGTTGGAAGAGTGGAACTTGGGAGGAAGCTAGCCCTTCAAAGACTTAGCCTAGTTACCGTAATGCTCCATTTCTGTTTCTTTCTTATTTCATCTCTGTAATCTGAGATAATTCCCAGTTTTCTGCAATATTTGAAAGGGTTTCTATCCGACTATTACAAACTAGATAGTAACTCCAAGTAAATCAACTCAAAATTCAAATAACTCGTCTCCTAAATAGCAGACCAGGAATCTCATGAGAACGAGTTTATTTTCCTTTACCTCCCAACTAGTTTTACCTAAAGCATACAACTTGTAACCTATACTCCCACCCAAATTTTGTTCTCTCCCATTAGCCAATCTGCTCACAGAATTGGCTGCTTCAAATCTTATGCAAGAGTTGATTGGCTATTCACCTGTGAACATAGCTTGATTGCTCCAGGAAAGTCATTAAGTTTAAGGCTACAAGCTGCACCATTCAACCAGCATGACACTCTCAGTCCCTTAGCTAGCTTTTGCTCATTATCCCCGAAGGATCCATCTTCACCAACAAAATCAGCAGCCTGAGAGTGAACAAGGTATCACGGATTTGGTATGAATGAAAGAATCTTGATGAACTTGAAAAACCAAAGCCACAGCAAGTCAAGGATTTACCTTCTCATACTTCTTCCCTGCTCGCTGATACTTGCCCCCTTTAAATAATAAATTTCCTTCTTCTTTCTTCCTCCCAGCAACCTCAATTTTCTCATTACTATTCAATTCCCATGGTGCTTTCTCCTTTCAACAAATATAAGTTAAAAGTATTAAAAGCACTAATTTTGCCAGATACAAATATGTACCTAACAACAAACTATACACCTCATTGCAAGAGAAACTAAACGATACTGCAAGCCACTTTGTTTTTCTCCATTCTCTAGTATTTCCATCAGTCTTTAAAAAAAAAAGATATATATTCAACTCCTCAATGGACCAAAGCCGAGTGTTTTTTTTTCCTTTTTCATTTACCTTAATAAAATCCATCATCTCAATGTCATAAACTACATTTGAGCCTGGTGGCACAATAGCAAAATCTCGCCTCACTTCAACATTTCCAAATGCATAATCAGGGTGTATGTTAATTATGGCCCTCTCACCCTTCTTCATTGTTTCCACTGCTCGGTCTAGACCAGTAATCACTTGTTCTACAGACAGCAAAATAAAAACATTAGTATCATTACTTTGTAGATATCATTTACACTCAATGACCATCACAAGAAAAGGGGGGGGGGGGGGAGTATGCAAAATAGTGTAGTTAAGATATAATAAGAATAAACTTACCCTCATCAGTTATGAATTTCAAGGGTTGCGTTTCATCAATTCCTCTTTTCTCAAATACAGTGCCATCTTCCAGCATAGCTGTGTACCTGACTGCCATAGCAATTTTAACCAAAACAATTAGTAAAATTAGGTTCCTTGTTTTACTTTCATTGAGTGTTTTCCCAGCAAACCATTCTAGAAAAATGCTACATAAAAGTTACATGTGCAATCTTTATTGTCCATTGACCACTACAATAGTCATTTCATCCTCTTTTTTATATGCATGTGATTGTGCTTTAGTGGACCTTCACTTGGTCCTCAAGGTGAGACATAGGAAACTCTAGCAGTATTTTAGATGATTCCCAGTTAGGACTTCAGTGAGACCCTCGAGCCTGATTCTGTAATCCAGTACCTCTACAGGTTGCACCTAGAGTTACTATTCATCATATAGGAAAGCAAGTAATGGACCAACAATCATTAATTCAAGCCGTAAAGAGTTTGTTCCCCTTAACAAAAGGGCTCCGGTTTGAGCCCTGGGAACATGTGATTGTGCTTTAGTGGACCTTCACTTGGTCCTCAAGGTGAAACATAGGAAACTCTAGCAGTATTTTAGACGATTCCCAGTTAGGACTTCAGTGAGACCCTCGAGCGTGATTCTGTAATCCAGTACCTCTACAGGTTGCACCTAGAGTTACTATTCATCATATAGGAAAGCAAGTAATGAACCAACAATCATTAATTCAAGCCGTAAAGAGTTTGTTCCCCTTAACAAAAGGGCTCTGATTTGAGCCCTGGGAATGGAGAATATGGCGTAGGGAGTGTGATACAGCCCCAGGCCTACGAGTATATTCTACACCCAAATGCAGTGGATCTGTGGCACTTGCTGAGTCAGCCAAATGATTAGTTAGGAGAATATTTCTCTAGGTTGTTAGAAGGGAAGTTTGTTATGGAGGGGGATAAATAGTCGTTGGAGAGTAAAATGTGATAGGCTGGAATTTGGGACTTGGGAGAGACTCAGAGCACTCTCTAATTTGCTCTGAAGTTATCTTTTGCTTTTGCCTTTTCCATTGTAATTTTCTAGCCTTGTTGAATTCAATGGATTTCTGAAGAACTGGTTGAGAAAATAAAAAAGATAAAAAAGAAGAATGAAAGAAAAAAGTGGGTAATGACTCTCACAGGCACAAAAAAATATTTCTTAAGAAGTGAGACATGGAATACAGGGTGCAGACGGCTGCTCAGCAGGTTAGTTCAATTTACAAGCAACCTGGCCACTATCAAGGATCCCAAATGGCCTATAAAACCCAGGACTAATCTTTTCATTAACCCGCTTTGCAAATGATTTGAGTCTACAATGTTGAATAGCCTTGGTACAACGGTAGAAGTTGTCGCCATATGACACAGAGGTCATCGATTCGAATTATGTAATTATCCTTGTGCAAGTAAGACTACCAACTATAGAACCACACAATAGGTCTGACCATTCCTTAGACCTAGAGCATAACAGGACTTCATAGCATCAGGTTACCCTTTATCTTCTCCCCATCTCCTTTCTTAAAGTCATACAAATCAAATTCCCCTCATGATTCCAATTGATTACCTTACTCGAAATATTATACAAATCACTCAATTTATGTTACATTAATCATTCAATTCTCCTTGGTTGCCTAACTGCACTCTTGCCTAATATAAATCTTGGTAATATGTGGTTTCCTAACACAGTCACATCAAGAGCCTGCAAATATTTAATAATCCTTGAGTCAAAGAAAATTGTTAATAATGAAACATCAGAGGACAGCTAGAGATTTCAAATTTCCTATGACATCATATGATAGATAATCCTTCTAATTCTAGATCCATTCTGATTGAAATCAACTGCATCAATAAGAACCCTCCAACCCAAATGGTTGAACTAGTTGTTCTTAAATAATAAAATGAGTGTCATTTACTTACCAGTAACATTTGCACCCTCATCGGCTGTGGAAGCACCCTCCCCTTCTTTCAAAATCTTCTTAAGCACCATGGAGTCACCAGTAACATTTATGACAGGTTTGAAGGACACCAATTCAATATTAACATGCAGCACTGAATTGGGAGGAATTGAATGCAGCCCACTGCCAGCTTCTCTCCCCATCTCCCCAAAGGCATCTGTAGTCACCATATGAAATACAATTCCAAACTAATTATTTGAGATATTGGTCCACAAGATCCCTGAAGCTAGGGAAGTACAGTGAAATTTAGGCTGGTATCAAGATATAGAATAACTTATAACCAAGAAGAGTTTGAAAGAAATAAATGGCTATGTACCCAATTTTACGGAGTTATGCCAAAAGCAGGCTTGACTTTCAATTGGATTTCGCAATTGATGCACAAATATTAATATTTGCAGTTCCATAGATTGATCAATTTTTCAATGTCTATTATGGTATAGTAGTAACCTAGGTGCTAGGAAAACAGAAACTGACTAGAAGAAAGAAGAAACATTTCAATGGACTATGAAGATGGTTATACCAATTTTATTTCAGTCAAAGTCATATTTTGAGAAGGAAGTTTCATGAATCTTTTCATAAAAAAAACTAAATATGGAAATATAATAAGCCTTTCATTTGGCTGCCGGAAAGACCGAAAATACAGATACTATAGGTTGAATAGAAGAACAAAAGACATACACTGAGGTTGAACAATTAATTTAGCCTTCTCTCCCCTTGTCATGGTCATGATAACTTTCGGCAATCTAGGAAAAAGATAACCTTCAACCAGTACAATAATTGGTCAGACAGGCTGTGAGATGAAAAATGAAATTACATTCCCTGTCTATTGAAATAAAGTAAGAGCACAACTCAACAACAATACCATCCTTCACATGAAATTCAACTCCTCCTTCCGGTGTTTCTGCTACAACAGTGCCATCATCTAGCACCACCTGATACTTCACTGCAATAGCAACCAAAGAACGACAAAGCTAATCAGCTGACACATTCTTCATTTCCAAAACAGGCCAAAAGAGACACAGCAACAGAAAACTGAAATGGATATATAACTCTCAACTGATTAATATGTTCAACTGATGGGAAGCAAAAAATATGTATAAGCAGCTATTAGAATACCAAGGACTTCATCTAAATCACCAGGCCGCTCATTCCCGCTCCCTTTCTCCATAATTTTCTTGAGAATTCCACCATCTTTGCAAACATCCACCACTTTGATCCACGAAATGAGTTCCACCTCAAACTGCAAAATGCCTCTAGAATCATCAGGCAATGTGAACAATGCTACCTCTCCCTTCTTCATGGTTATAACCCCATGATCCAACCCAGCAACCACTTGACCTATCAACCCCATCAACAAATAAACAAATCTAAGTCACACCCACATAAAAACATATATTGAAGGGAAAAAATGTTTGTCATTTTAAAATACACAATTTTGTGTCATTTTTAATGAAACTACATTATTTTGTTGTGTTTTTGCATTCTCTCTCCTCCACATTCTTTTTTTCCTAGTTTTATATAAAAAAAAAACAGTAAAAAAATACCAAAAACACAACAAAATGATGTGATTTCGTTAAAAATGACACTATCGTTTTTCGATATTGAAATTACATTAAAAAAAAATGCCAACAAAATGTTGTTCTCAGTTCTCACCTTGACCAAGAGTAAATATCATAGGTTGATTTGTATCCCTAGTGGAATCAAACTTTGTTCCATCAAGTAAAGTCCCAACATAGTGAACTGTATTGAATATTGAGCATTGTTTAGTAGTTACTTGCATAAAGAGATTTTAAGATTTTTGAGTGATGATGACTAACCAGTTACTTGGTCGTTGAAGTCAGGGGTTTCCCATCCGAGTCCGCGCTTGATCAGCTTCTTCTTGAGACCCGAGTTACTGAGTTGCCTCTCTTCGCCAACCTTTTGTGGCGGTGCCGATTCGATAACCTCACCGGGTTCTTCGTCGAATTCATCCTCGTCCTTTACGTCCGACAACACCACCATCACTGCCAACCTTTTTTTTTTCTTTCTCGAACAATCCTCTGATTAGAACAGTAACGCTGTCTGCCTGAACGGTAAGTTATGGGAACGTTGTTAGTTCAGAAGGGAAAAAATATGTGTACAGGGAAATGTATTTAACCTTTGATTTCAGTGTGCCTTTTTAAAAATTACTCCGTAATTCAATTGATATTAGAAGCGATTACAATTTCCTCCACAAGTTTTAGGGGATTAAATTTTATGAGAAAATTTTTTTATGCTACATATTCAATACATAAGTGGGTTCTATAAAAAAAGTAAAAAGACAAAAAAATAAAAATGGGACCCACATTTTAATGTATGTGTAACATGAGAAAATTTTCTCATGTAAAATGAGAAAAGATTAACCCTAAGTTTTATTACACTTAATCTCGCGCATGTTTGTTTGAAAAGTTAGATTTCTATCTTGATAACCTTTTTTAATTATTCTTCTAGACTTTAATATTTCTACAATAGATAAGTTATCTACATTTGCTCTCAAAATGACGTTATTTTCCATTGAAAAATTAAAAAAATACAATAAAAATACTATTATAACCCTGAAATAAATTATAATTACAAAAATACTTTGATTTTTGTCTCAAAATAACGACATTTTAGACTCAATGTAAATAAGTTATCTACATTAACAAGAAAAAAAACGAAACCTTCTTCTAATATCTCTATCTTAAGATTCATGATGATTTATTAGATGAAGATAAACTTTGAGTACTGATTATAAAATATACATTAACTTTTATGAGGAATATTATATTTATAACTTATTTTCGTTTAAAATTTCTTACAGTCATATTTTAATTGTTATTTTTTTTAATTAACAATTATTATTTTCGTATATTAAATTCATTAATTAATTATTAATTCGCAATAAATAATAACCGTTGATTGACTAAAACTAACAATTAAGATATGATTATAAAAAAATTATAAATATAAATATTTTATAAATATAATCTTCCTCAACTTTATTTGAAAATCTTCTTGGAATACCTTTCGAGGGGTGTTTGGTTGAGGAGTTTTGGTTTGTTTCCCAACAAAGTGATTCCTGCATACTCAATTGTCCACGTTTGGTTCACCGATCTTATTAATTTTATCCATCAATGTCGGTTGCCTAGTTGTCGTGTTTTGCATGTTAAAAAGCAAAAAATCACTGTTCCAGAGAGCAAATTGGAAGGTGGTATTTGTCTGAAAATCGGAGAAGTTAATAAAGTGGTCTTATACAGTGACACAATTACCCCTCAATTTTTGCCTGAAACCAATTGGTCCTACAAGGTTATTTTTAAAAGGATAATTTTGTAATTTGATTAAGTTTTCCTATCAATATTTTATCTTCAACCAAACACACATTCAAAAATTTTCTTCAATTTTCTTGGTAAAATTTTGCTTAACCAAATAATTTTTTTATAACTTTCTTATCTAACTCACTTTCCCTGCAGATCTCTATTAATTATATTTTCCTAGTAAAAAAAAAAATCACCTAAATCAAACAACCCCTTCATTCTCAACTAAATTTATCCTTAAAGATGACTTACCAAAAGAACCTTATCCTTAATGATGAGTTGAGAAAATTTACGTATCTAGTAGAAGCCATTAGATTTTTATATTTTATTTTTAATAAAGTGGAAGGGGCAAAGCCCCGGAAGCCATTAGATTTAGGCTAGCATTAAGAGTGTTGATAATTTGCATAACATCATAAAATCAAACTTTAAAAAAATATTGATCTAAGTTTTCCAATCTTCCGTATTTTATTTTATTTTTAAACAAAATGAACGAGGGTAAACTTTATCCATTTTAATGACACGACAAACTATTAACATCAACAAATATTTTATGATAAAATTGTAAACTACTTATCAATAAAGAAGCCCAATATTTAAATCAAAATTATGTGATTTTCATAAGGAGAAGGTAACCTAGTCTTCCATGCTACTCTTATCTAATTGTTTTAAGAATTGACTCTTGCTATAACATTCATTCCGGATATCCTTCATTATTAATTCTTTATTATAACTCGAATTTAAATTAACAATTTGTTTTCTTTATATAAATTGTTAATGCAAAGCAGCGTCCTAGTAAGCATTAAGAAAAAACTTGAGGTCCAAAAGTATCTTACAATGTTACGTAAGTCACTATCACATACCCGAATGCAATAAATAAGAATAAATTTGGAAATGTTATGAAACTAAGAAAGAAAATAAAGACTTGTTATGAAACTAAGAGAGAAGATATGAAATAAAAGGAGAAAATAGAAGATCACTACTAAAAAAACTGGTATTAAGGATAGACAAGTTCCATTCCCAAAAGCCATAAATTCATCCCTAAATTATTTAGGGACGGAATTTGAGACGGAACAATTTTCGTCCCTGAATCGCTTCTAGCTAATGTTTTGGGACGGAACTAAAGTTCTGTCCTTAATAGGGACGGAATAAAATCCGTCTCTAACATGTGTTTTTCGTCCCTAATGTTGTCAACAATTATGAGTTGTAAAAGGTAAGAATCATCCCTAATAGGGACAGAACTAGGGAAGAATTGTGTTCGCCCCTATTAGGGACGGAATTTGAGACAGAATAACTTTCATCCCTGAATCGCTCCTACCTAATGTTTTTGGATGGAACTAAATAGGGAGATTGGGACAGAATAAAATCCATCTATAACATGTGTTTTTCGTCCCTAATGTTGTCAACAATTATGAGTCGTAAAAGGTAAGAATATGTCCCTAAGAGGGAGAGAATTAGGGAATGATTTTGTTCGTCCCTAATTTTGTTCGTCCCTATTTGGGACGAATTTTGTCCGTCCCTAATTTTATCCCTACTTTCAAAATATTAGGGATGAAATTGTTTCGTCCCTAATTACATCCCTACTTTCAAAATACATTCAATAAAATATTTTGAATTTTTTTTAACAAAATTTATACCTGATAATTGTCATAATATAAATCATCAAAGTCATATAATCAATCAAAGATGGTTTGAAACTTATAATAATTATAACCATACAAGCCATCATAGTCATAATCAAATAGCTAAAAAGTCTTAATGATAAAAAGTATCATAAAATCAAAAATAATAAATATATCAAACTACAATATCAACTAATAAGTATTCTTCACAAAATGTATTAAAAGATCATAAAATATTTATCAATTATCTTCGTGTAACCCAGAATCATTGACATCATCTTTCGAATCATCACCAACTCGAACCTCATTATGTTCTCACGAGGTGTAGAGTGGGCATAGAGACATAAGCAATCAAAATCTTCAGCTGCTCTTTCATAACAACCATCTCTGTCTGCAATTCTTGATTTTGGGTGGATATGGTTGTCACTATCTCTCTCATACGATTATACTCATTTGCAGAGACTCCTTGAGACGAACAAGCAGACTTCTCCGAAGCCTTGTATTTACTAGCCTCTGCACCTAAACCAAAAATGCGACCCTGTTTGTTCATACCCCTAACAGTCTGGAGGAATAATTCATTATCAGATTGGCCGATAGATGCGTTATTTTCAATCACCATGTCACGTTCATTCCTCCGCTCAAAGATTTTATCTTGAAAATAAACAAATTACACTAGTCATCAATACATACGAAAATTTTATAAACAGATAGATATTTCAAAAAGGGTATTCCAATAAAAGGTAGCAACATACCTATACCATAGTTATCATACTCATAACAAATCCTTCTGGGACAATTAATCACACAAAAATTGTATAACAATTGATTTGCAACATTCAACAAATGAATTATTCTTGGAACTTCAAGTTCACTTTGATTTGTGTGTATATCTAGAAGGGCCAATGTTGGTATGTTCCAACATATTCTTTATTGTGTTTTTGTCCCTTTATCTTTTTCTTCCCCTAATAACGAGGAAAATATTAATCAGTGGGGAATCAATACCAACACATATTCTAAGATGACTTTGTAGACACAGCTAAATTCCTTGAGATGGTGTAATAAGTTATAACATAACCAAAATTTCTAAGATATACTTTAGGTTGTTGACCAAACACAAAATTATAAAGGTGTGAACTTGTGATACGCAAATAGTCATGTACAAGCCAAAGATGCAATATGTGTTATAGCATATTTCGATGTAGTTTTTGATCTCGTAAGCATAGTCTATAAATAAATTTTAAACAATTAATAAAAATTTCAACTTAACTATTTGAGAATAAATATATGCATTAAAATGTTCAATACTAATTTCTATTGATATGTAATAATCATAAAATACTTTTGAAATAAATTTATATATTTTATCAAGATGAGCTATTTTGATGGAATGACTACCGAACTTGATCTTAATTTATTATTTTAGCAAGAATTTTTAGCAAAATTTTTAGTTGAAAGTAAATAAATATGTGACTGATGGGACGTAAATTTGTTCCCATCTAAGCCCATTTTTATGGCAAAATATCTTACGTTCCCTCATCTGATGAGCAACTTTAGCATGAAAATCACTTGTTTTACACATTTGTGACAAAAACACAGTGGGAGAACGTATGGTGATGTATTCCTTTAAAATATATTAAAAGGAGAACGGACTGAGAAGTATTTAATGCACCAGCTCCACTCATTTAATGCCTCTGTCCCTTTTGCAGGAAACGTGAAAACGAAGTCTTCTAAAAGCATAGGCGGTGCACCACTTAAGCACCAGGAAACGTGAAGAACAGAGAATCAAGAGTTCTCATTGGCCAAGAAGAAAGCAAGGCATGGGGGACTGCACAAAACGGCTAATCATCAACAAATACTGTCTCATCAAGCAATTTGCAAAGCTTCTAAACACTGTTGCCACCACCCCATCCCTTCATTCAAGAAACTCACGCCAAAGAATTTACAAGACTGTCATTCCTCTTCTTCCTATAAATAGGACGTCCCAAATACAAAAACATCATCGAATTCTGGAGGGATTGAAGTCCTAAAAGAAGAGATCACCTAGTAGTAGTTAGTATTTTAGTTTTATATAGTTGTAGCTATAGTTAAGTGACAACCCTTCTTCTCTGTTCTGTATCATCCCCTAAGACTCCTCACGAGCATTAAACCACC